CATGAAATCATGTCAGTCCCAGTGCTGACCCCTAATGGACACCACTCGTCCGCTGGTCTCCATCCGGACATTGAGCCGTTGGCCGCCGCTCTCAACCAGTTCAAATCAGTGCCTGCTCCTCTGCTCCCCTCACCAGGAAGCTTTAGGCCACCTTGATTCCTTCCCTCAGCCTCCTCTGCTCTGGGCTGAACAAACCAAGGATCTCAGCCACCCCTCACACACGTTGCCCTCCAGATCCTTCACCATCTTTGCAGCCCTCCTTTGGATGCTCTCCAATAGCTTTATGTCCTTCTCATACTCTGGCACCTGACCTGCCCCCAGTGCTCCAGGTGAGGCTGCACCAGGGGGACATTGCCTTCCTTCTCCCAGCTGGCAGTGCTGGGTCTGGTGCACCTCAGTGTACGGTTGGCCCTTCTGGCTGCCCAGGCACGCTGCTGGCTCAGGTTCAACTCTCTGTCATCCAAAAACCCCAGATCCCTTTCCACAGGGCTGCTTTCTAGCCTGTCCTCCCCCGGTCTGTATGCATATGCAGGCTTTCTGTGTCCAACATTCATATTCTCTAATACACACGATACCATGAGATTCACGGTCCCATGAGAATACGCACGAGAACACGAGGTTTCCCTGGGCCCACCGCTCGCTCAAGTGGACACCGCTCCAATCAGAGTCTCGCCTCCCGCAGCTAAAATCTAAGAAGAAAAACGAACGCTAGGGCTTCCAGGCCGCCGGCCCAGATCCTCCGCGCCGCGGCGCTCACCGTCAGCACGCTCTCGAAGTCCTCCCCGTCCCGGCGGCACCGCCGCTGGATGAGCTCCACCCCCAGGAAGATGTCCCCGAGGTTGTACTCGTCGCGGCTGCGCGGCCGCGGGAGCTCGCCCGGCGCCACCCGATGGTAGGGGAAGGACAGCACGTCGGTGGGCTCGGGGCGCCGGCGGTACACGCCGTTCAGCCGCCTCATCAGCCCGTCGCCGGCGCAGATCAGCGCAACGTCGAAGTGCGCGGCGCCCAGCGCGGCCCGCAGCGCGCAGACGGCGCGACGGAGCGGCACCCGGCGCAGAGGCGCGGCGCGCTGCGCGTTGCGGATCAGCACGCTCATGGCGCCGGAGCTCCGCCCGCTCGGCCCGCCTCGGCCCGCCGGCGCGTGCGCGGGGCCGGCCCGCCGCGGAAAGCGGAGGCCATGAACGCCAGCGGTCCGTTCCGCGGCCCTCCCGCCTTCCCGCCGCGCTTCGGCCAGGCCGCTGCGCCGCCCTTCGTCCCCGCGCCGCCCTACGGGCCGGGCCGGGCGGCGGGCAACGCGGGCTTCAGCTTCAAGCCGCCCACCGACCTGGGCGGCCTCCCGGCGCCGAGCGACGCGGCGGGCGGGGCCTTCGCGCCGCCGGAGTTCCGCTTCAAGGCGCCCGACGGCCCGGCCGCCTTCACCTTCTCGCCGCCCTTCGGCTTCGCGCCCGAGGCGACGGGACACGAGCCACCGGCGCCCGCCGCCGGCTTCTCTTTCTCGCGGCCCGCCCCGCCGCTCGGCCGCCCCGAGGAGGGCTCCGCGCGGCCGCCGTTGAACACCGCGGAGGAGGCGGGCGAGGCGGTGCCGAAAGGGCTGAAGCGGAAGGAGGAGCGGGAGCGCTCGCCGCGGCGGACGACGGCGTCGGGCGGGCGGGTGGCAGCGCCGCCGGAGAAACGCGCCGTGCTGCTGAGCCGGCCCCGCGGCGGGGCCCTGTTCGGCCGCACGCTGCAGGAGGTGCTGCGCAGCCAGGGCCGCGAGCGCGGGGAGCCCGAGCGGGGCGCGGCCGAGGAGCCGGCGGCCGAGGGCCGGGAGATGCCGCACCCGGCGAGGCTCGGGCCGGCGGACGGCGCTCCCGTCGCTCCGGCGCGCAGAGCGAGGGGCGACGATGGCACCGACGGCCTGAGCGGCGCGGCGCCGGGTGAGCTAACGGCCATCCAGTGCAAAAATGTCCCCGACTACCTCAACGACAGGACGGTGCTGGAGAAGCACTTCGGGCAGTTCGTGAAAGTCCGCCGGGTCATGACGCGCAGGAATAAGAAGACGGCCGTCGTCCACTTCTTTGACCACGTAAGTTTTGGGGGCTGGCGGCGAGGGAGCGGGGGTTAACCTGAGTGCTGCAGCCTGGCGCGGGGCCGGGCTGGATGTTAGGAAGTAACTGTCGTCCGGAAGAGTGGTGGGGCGTTGGAACAGGCAGCCTGGGGAGGTGGTGGAGTCACTGCCCTCGGAGGCGTTCGAGAAGAGGGTGATTGAGGCGTCGAGGGACGTGGTCGGTGTGGCACGGTGGGGTGGGCTGACGGTTGGACTGGATGATCTTAGGAGTCTTTTACAGCCTTTGTGATTCTGTGATTAGTGCGCAGTTGAACGCCAAATGCGGTAGCATCAAGGGCAACACTATCTTTGCAGGGTGATCCGCTTGTTGGGAATGTTGCTGCTTTGATGAGGCCTGTAGTCCCGTGTGTTCTGCAGTCCCTTAGAAAAGTAATGTGTTGTGGAACACACCCAGCCCCGCCAGTTGCATGGATGTCTCAGGCAGGAGGTTGTGAAGCACTGGCACAGGTTGACCAAGGAGGTGGTCCATGCCCCATCCCTGGAGACATTCACGGTCAGGCTTGACTGGGCTCTGTGCACCTAATCGAGCTGTGGGTGTCCCTTTTCATTGTAAGGGAGATGAACTAGATGGCCTTTAAAGGTCCTTTCCAACTCAAATGATTCTAGGCTAAAAGGCAGCGCCTAGAGGTCTGGGTGTTGGTACATGTTTCTCCAGCAGAAGCTGTCCTTCCTTGTGCTAACAGCTCTTGAGTTCCACTTTGTTTTCTTTCAGGCCTCTGCAGCCCTCGCCAAAAAAAAGGCAAAAGAATTGCACAAAGACATAGTGACATTTTGGCAGAAGAAGAAAACAAGTAAGTCTTGTGTTTCTTGATGTGATGAGCAGGTGATGCGTGGTACAGTGGGTAATGGCACAGGTACTGGGGAGAGAGGGAGGATATTTTAAAGCATGTAGTTGCATACAGAATTATTTCTCTGCCTTCACAAAATAAGAATAGCTCCCAGGAAGCCTAGGAGCCAGTAAGGGGGCTATCCCCAGCCCTCTGCTTGAGATTCAGGCAAAAGGAGATGCTGGTGTTGGCTATTCATCTCCCCAGGTGAGTATTTGAATTGCCAAGTGCTTCCCTTTAATTTTATGAATCAGAGTTTGTAGCTCTAAGTTCCTGGCTTGAAGATATGTTTCAGAATGAGTGAATGGCTTGCCACAGCTTTGACCAACCCAGGAACTAAGTTTCACAGCAAGAGAGCAGCTGTAGAGTTGTTTTCCTGAGAAGAAATATCTCAAAGCAACAGCTGTAAGGACGCTTTTGTCATGTTATTTTGGCATTAAGGTCTACAGAAACCTGGATGGCAGTATTCTATACTAACTAATCTGGGAGAGTGTGAGAAATCCAGCTGGCTGAGAAATTTGTTCTTTTTCTTTTCGACTTAACTCTTGAAGAGGCATGTCAACCCCAGCCTGAGCTTGGGATGTGTGAATTGTTCAAGTACCTCAGGAGCACTGAAAATGTTGTGACAGTCGTAGTTTTTGTTGGTAAAACAGATTAAATACCAGGTGTTCTGTTTTTTGTGGTTTTGCATCAGTTTGTCACTGAGCAAGGCTGAACCAGGCCACCGGGTATTGAGCTGTGGGTTTTGAGTTATAACCCAAATTCAAAAGAACTAAAATTTGATGCCCAGACTTCATTTACTGGCAATGTGCTGAATAATTGCATTTACTGCTTAGCAGTGTTTTATTCAAGAATGCTTTTCCTTTATGGAACTCTAAAGCTAACCAGAAATTAGTGGGTGTCATTGGTGCAACTTCCAGTGCAGGCTGTCCTATTAGTGTTGTGTGCATCCATGAGGTTGTAACTGGAATAATATTATCAGAAAATAAAGCCAATTACTCACTACACTGCTGGGGAGTTGAGGCAAAAAGCTGTTGCGGAAATTATTTGCTGAGTACCTGTCTTGATGTTTATATGTCACTTTAGGCCCAGCAAAAAGAGAATTTTCATCCAAGGAGAAGAAAGCAAGTGAAGAGGAAGGAAGGCAAAGCAGTGAAGAGCAAAACTACCAGCATTCCCCTCTTCGAAAACCTTTAATAAGATCTTCTGCCAGCGCTGCAATGCCTGGTAGAAGGTATGTACGAGTGTTCTCTAAGAATCTGTCAGGATGGATGGGCAAAAGTGATCAGTGTGTGCTGAGTAGTGATGTTCTTAGCAAGAGAGTGTGCTTCTTCTATCTGCTGGCATACATTCATTTTAAACATGTGGCTTTTTGGCTGAATTGGAGTTACAAATCTCACATTTTGTCAGATGCTTCTGACTGCATATTAAGGCTTTTTATTTCTTCAGTCTTCTTTTTTTTTTTTTTTAAAGCGTTTTTGTTTGTTCATTTTTTACAACATGAGAAACAGCTATAACAGCGAGGCTTAAGAAAATGGTGAAAAACAGTGCAAAGCTCTCGTAAGGCCAAGCAGTGACCGACTGTGTTGGGTGGTCTTGGTTAAACTGGTTTCTGAAGTGAGTGGTTTCATTCGTTGACAAAAACGGATCTGTGGAATTAGTCCTCTTTTCAGAGAAGCTATGAGTTAGGTCGTTGTATTTTTGTACTTAGAGAATGGGCTTTATGCAGGAGACCTGCTTTATGCCAGGTGCTGAAGCTGCAGGCTTTTTTTGTACCTTCTTCTGTAGCACCTTAATGGTTTGCCTAGTTGGACAGTGATTATTTGGTGTGTGTTGTCATGCACTTACAAGTAATATGCTTGGTTTTAGCTCTCCGGCAAAGAAGCCTGGTCTTCGAAAGGCTCTGCAGTTTGAAGTAGATCTGTTTGATTCTGGTTCTGAAGGACAGAACTCAGAAGCCATGGGAGCTTCGTTGTCATCTCTGAGTAACCTGGTAGGATTAGTGGCAGAGACATCTGAGGAAAGATACCGTCTTTTGGACCAAAGAGACAAAATCATGCGACAAGGTACTGTTCTTATTCTTGTGTTCTTACCCTTCACACCTTTCTGTTGGGGTAGATTGTTGTATACGCTCATTTCTTGTAGAGCAACAAAATCTGTGTGTTTTATTGCACACATATATTTATGTATGATGAATAGCAAATTGTTCATCTTTGAATGAATTCCTGAGTATTTTTGAGTGTATTTTGACAGTGTTGTATTGGCACAAAACACTATATTACTAACGGGTAGAAAATTAGCAGGGACAAGGACTTATTTGCCTTCTTTGTTCCGCAGTCCTCATCAGTTACAAGGTCAATTAAGCCACCCCAAGTAACTGTGCCATCATGTGTACCTGGCTTGTAAAACACGGGGTCATGGTTTTCTTGATCCTGGGGGATGCCACATAGGGCAGTTTTCACCTCTGCAGGTTCTTCCAAGAAAGCTGACCAAAGGCTCGCAGCATTTCTCTAAAAGGACACTATTAAGTAAAGCTGGTCATTATTTCAGTAAATATTTGCTTGTTTCACTATTCTGATTTGTAAATTATTTCATCCTATTCCTGTTCTTTCAAAGCTGATTTTATTAAAATTTTGTTTTTTAAAATCAGCAAACATTTGTTCTCACTTGGCATGGGATTGGTGGTGCTTGGTTAGAAGGCAAAACAGGATAGGCTTTTAGGATATAAAGCATCAGGTGTCTCTTACAGACTGACATTTTCAGCAAGAGTCTCGATATCCATGGGACAGTATGAGAAGCTTCTCCAGAGGAGCAGTGCAGACCTGGGACAGTGCAGGTCCTAGCACAGGGGAACTCCATCCTTGTGTATTTCCAGCTGATCCTGCTCCAATGGGAGGCTGTTTGGGATCCCCTATGGATCCTGTCACATCAGCTTTTCTGGGAACCCTTACCTTTGTCGGAGTGCTTCTTGACATCCATCCACTGCCCAGTGTTCAGACTGCAGCTGAGGCAGATGCTGCTCTGGGCTGCACATTAAGAAATAGCTTGTCATGAAAACAAAAGGACAGATGCTTAATGTTACACTTTCAGTTTCTTTCTTCTTTTTTTTTTTTTTTTTTTAGCTCGAATAAAAAGGACTGATCTTGGAAAAGCAAAAACTAT